GCCCAGGGCGAGCAGGTCACCATCTTCCAGTACTGGAGCCACTTTGAGTCACTCGGCGCCCTGGTGCTCGACACCTACATGATGGAGCTGGCAGAGGAAGGTGGGTGTCCTCCCACCCTCAGACCCTCTGTGGGATGCTGGAGCGTCACTGTAGGGGATCACCCTGCAGCGCCTCCGTGACCACCCTGGGCACCACCCAGAGGCTCAGCCATCCTTGGGGTGGGCAAGTCAGCCTGATCTGGTGCACAGCCCACTCCCACACTGCCTCCCTGAGCACCGTAGGTCCTTGGGCTTGGGCAGCTCCAGGTGTTGGCACTCTTTGTGGGGCCACCTCTGCCCAGCACAGGCACAGGGTGCCCGGGGGTGGGTTCTCTGCGGTGACAGAGATGCTGCCACCGGCGTCCCTGCCCCTCAGCTCAGCTGGTGCTCCCCTGCAGCCCTGCTGGCACAGAACCTCAACTCAGATGACCAGGACGTGGTGCTGCGTGCCCTGAAGCGTGTCCCTGAGGGCCGCCTGAAGAAGGAGGGACTGAAGGCCCTGAGCCTGCTCCTCGTGGAGGGCAACAGCAAAGTGGTGAGCGCCGTGTCGGCCCAGCTTCGCAGCCTGGCAGAAAACCCCCACTTCCGCCAACGGGTACGTGCTGGGCAAGCTGGGAACGAGGTGGGGTGGTGCTGTGGTCCCTGGGGTGCTGTCTCCATCCCCCTCCCCTAGATAGTGGCGCTGACCCCCTGGTGTCCCCCAGGCTCTCGTGTGCTACCTGGAGCAGCTGGAGGATGAGGAGGTGCAGACGCGCGTGGCCGGGTGCGCGGCGCTGGGCTGCCTGAAGGTGAGGGGGGATGTGGGGAGCAGGTGGCAGGGGCTGCACCTTCCCCAGGAGGAGGAAGAGGAATGGCATCTGCCTGGCCAGTCCCGACACACCTTGCCGGACTCCCAGGAGAGAGGAGCTGGGGGTGCCCCAAATGTGCCGGAGAAGCAAGCACGGGCAGGGCAGGGAGATGGGGAAGGGAGGGACAGAATGAGGGCCTTTCCTGCAGCAGGAGGCTGCAGTGCCCTGTGCCACCACCCCCCTGGATGTGTCCCTGCCTCCAGCCCCACTCGGGCCCTTCTCCCTTCTCCTGCAGGCCAAGGAGAGCATCGAGCAGCTGGTCTACCTGTGCCAAACTGACAAGGAGCCTGTGCGGGAGGCAGCCAAGCAGAGCCTGATGCTGTGTGGTGAGTGTCCTGCTGCTCCTCTCTGCTCCCTCCCCACCCAC